CTGGAATTTGACACCCCTGGCCTACGGGGTTTCTTCCCCTTCGCAGCTGCGAGGTGGGTGGACTTCAACTCCCAGAATTCCCCAGCCAGCATTTTTAAAAGAGGGATCACTACCCACTTCCTGAACCCCCTGATTCTTCCAAAGTCTTGTTCTTTCTGACCCTTCCCGCTTACTGTCCTCTGGCTCCCTCTCTCTCCCTGACCCCGCCTGGTTCTCACCCCTCCTCAGGGGTCAGAAATTTTAGCAAAGGGTTCTCTGCCTGGTGGCTGGGTGGGCGTGGCCATGGTGGGCGTGGCCTAGTTGGCCTCCTGCATCATGGCGGCGGGGGGGGTGTTTTTGCCTTCCCCAGACTCCGGAGGCTTCCCTCGAGCCTCCAGGAGGGCGAAAAAGGCCTCCACGGGCTCCGGAGGCTCCCTGGAAACTGGAAACGGGCCCATTTCCGGCCTTCTCGAACTTCCAGGAGGCCCGTTTTTCACCCTCTCCAAGCCTCCATGCGCCCCCTGCACTTACCTGCTTCCAAAATGGGCCACTTGGGGACTCAAGAGAGGGGAGGGGTGGGAGGAGCCAGCCAGGAGTGGGATATTGGGGGGGGGGGTGTTACCGAATGGCACAGAATCTTAGACAGGGGCTCTCCCGAGCCCCCAGCATCCCACCCGGCCCTTCCTGCATGGCAGGGAAAGTTGCCCACATGCCCATTGGTTGCCTAGACCCAGAGCTTGGAGAAACAGACCGGGTCAGAATGTCAGGTGGCTCATTTGCATATTGGAACCCCTGTTTGTGATCTTCTCAGAGGCCCCCCGCTCGACGGGCCCTGCTGGGCAGCCTGGCCATGGTGGCCAGCGCGTCAAGAGACCATGCCCCATAGCTTTTGGCATTGCCACTGTCACTTTTGTGTTCCCCACAGGCACACCAGTAACAACATTAGTGTGGCCAGTGAGAGCTGTTCCGAGGATTGGAGCTTCAGCGGTAACGTAAGTATCACCAGGTAGCCGTGTGTGGCGGCAGCTGCTTTCCAGCTCCGTTCTCCTGTGCAGGGCAACCAAAGAAGACCCAGCCGATCAGCTGTGGGCGTGGCTTGGTGGGTGTGGCTTGGTGGGTGTGGCAGGGGAAGGATACTGCAAAATCCCCCTTCCCTCCCCACCCCACTCACCTGCTTTCCAGCTCTGTTCTCCTGCGCAGGGCAACCAGAGGAGACCCAGATAATCAGCTGGGACTCGATGGGAGGCAGAGAAGAGATGGGGTTGGCGGGGCCAGTCAGAGACGGGATTGGCCGGTTCTCTGAGCTATCCAAAATTTCTGCTACCGGTTCTCGAGAACCGGTCTGAACCGGCTGAATACCACCTCTGGGCTACAAGCACGCCAGGGTGGGTGAGGCCACTGGAAATCCCAGCCTGGCTTGTCATGACCTTGGGTTCGATCCCTTCCAGGTGTTAGATGCCTCCACTCACACTAACCTTGGTGCTTCAAGCAAGTATGGGGTCGCCCTCAAGAAGAGGCGCACTCAGATCCCAGACAAGCCCAACTACAGCCTTAATCTCTGGAGCATCATGAAGAATTGCATCGGTAAAGAACTGTCCAAGATACCCATGCCTGTAAGTGGCTCCTTCTTCCACCCCTTTTCGTGTCTGTGGGGGCTTCTTCTGGGGGTCTTGACCTTCAGCACCTGGTCAGTCCCCACCTGAAGGCCAGCCCTAGTGAATGTACAAGAGAAACAACACAGGTGGACCGAGTCCAGTCGGCCTTTGGGCCAACGACAGCAGAGCAAAAGAAGTAGAAATTGAGAGTTCGTGTGATGACCCGGGGCGTGGCACAAAGGCAACGCACTGGGAAGCGGCATATAAGTCTTAAGGGCCAGTGCTAGTGCTATTTAAAGGAGGATGAAGCAAAATTACAAAAATCACTTTTAATTTTCCCTTTCAATGAGCTTTAGGGTGGGTGAAACTCACCAACGGTGTAACGGAAGCGCAGGCCCTTCCCTTTCTAAAGGACAAAAAAAGTCTTCTCCCTTCAATTATCCAGCAAAATGACTCTAAAAAAAAAAAGGAGGACTCATACGTTTCCCCCGCACCCACAAGAGTACCGATATGGCCGTCCATAAATAATCCCGCTATCCAATATCTCTGCTTGGCAGCCCAGTTAAACATCAGCAGGACACCTGCCAAAGCAGAACATTTTAAATCTGCCAATTTAAGGGAGCCACGCTGGGAAGTATTGGAAATTGTAATAGCCCTCTTGACGTGACATTAAATCTTTCTGGTCCGCGGCGGGGTGGGGTGGGGGACTTTCGGTGCAGGCGACAAAGCGTCACAGCCCACGCGAGCACGTCTCTTTTGCGCAGGTATATTTTATGTCCAGAGCCTGCGCTTCCCCCCGTCTCCCACTGACCTTGTGTGGGCCAGAATAATCCAGCTGCGACCGGCGGCGCGCTTTTTCGTCCGCCGCCGCGGCTCTTCCGAGCGGTTTGCAGCACTCGGCGTGCGACCGCAATGCCAGCCCCAAATTTATGTCGCCGAGTGAGAAATGGGTCGAACGAGCCTCGTCCGATTTTACGACTCTCCTTGGCGCCTTTGTGAAAAGGGATTGCTGCCGTTGTTCAGTGAGCCACCCGGTTGTTAAGTGAACTTGGCTTTCCCACCCACCCCCTTGACTTGGCTCATCTGAAGGTGGCAAAAGAGGGTTACATCACACACACACACACCCCGCCAAAGATACTGCAACCGTTGTAAATGCAAGTCAGTTGTCACACCCCTGAATTTTAGAGTGCAGAGAAGAGCAACAAAGATGATTTAGGAGGTTAAAACGTAGAAAGAATGGTTGCTGGAATTGGGGATGTCTAGTTTAGTGAAAAGAAGGACTCGGGGGTTTACAGGATAGCGGTCTTCCAATGTTTGAGGGGCTGCCCCAAAGCAGAGGGAGTCAAGCTATTCTCCAAAGCGCCAGAAGCCAAGAAAACAAACAATGAATGGAAACTAACCGAGGAGAGAAGCAACTTGGAACTAAGAAATTTCCTGATATTGAGAACAATTAACCGGCAGAACAGATTCCCTCCAGAAGTTGTGGGTGTTTCATCACTGGAGGTTTTTAAGAAGAACCACTTATCTGAGATAATATAGGTTCTCCTGCTTGAGCAGGGGGCTGGACTAGAAGACCTCCAAAGTCCCTTCCAAGTCTCTGTATACCATTCCATTCTATTCTATTCTTTCATATTTCTATTCCATTCCACCCGCTTCTTTCTTCTTCCTTTTCTTCTTTCTCTTCTTCTTCTTCTTCTTCTTCTTCTTCTTCTTCTTCTTCTTCTTCCTCCTCCTCCTCCTCCTCCTCCTCCTCCTCCTCCTCCTCCTCCTCCTCTTCCTCCTCCTCTTCTTCTTCCTCCTTCCCCCTCCACCTCCTCCATGTTTCTTTCAGTGCCATTGTACATTTGGAACCGTTGCTAAGTGAACTGTTGTAAGTCAAGGGCTTCCTGTATCAGCCATTGGAAGGGGAGACACCCCCCCCCCCCGATGTAGAGGCTCTCCTCTGCTGCTCCTGCATAAGAAAGGACGAGGCAACCATCAGATGAGGAAGCTTGGATAGCAATAGCCCTTAGACTTATATACCGCTTTATAGTGCTTTTACAGCCTTCCTCTAAGCGGTTTGCAGAGTCAGCCTCTTGCCCTGCAACAATCTGGGTCCTCATTATAGAGAAGGACGGAAGGCTGGGTCCACCTTGAGCCTGGTGAGATTTCAGATTTCAGGCAGCCGGCAGTCAGCAGACGTAGCCTGCAGTACTGCACTCTCACCACTGCGCCACCATGGCGCAGACGTGGCCTGGTGCCAGATTAAAAACAATGGCCCCTCTGGGCATTGGGATTCCTCTCTATGCTCCCGAGTGCCATTGTGGACTAGGAACTGGGAGGGTGTGTGTGTGTTGTGGGGGATAAGGGTCACTGAAGCCCTCACTCTTCCTCCCCAGTGCTGGAGAGCCCCCCCCAACCCTCCTCTCCCTCTCCCTTCTCCCCTACAGGTCAACTTCAACGAACCCCTCTCGATGCTGCAGAGGCTGACGGAGGACCTGGAGTACCACGATTTGCTGGACAGAGCGGTCAAGTGCGAGAACGCCATCGAGCAGATGTGCTTCGTGGCCGCCTTTTCCGTGTCTTCCTACTCGACCACGGTCCAGCGGACCGCCAAGCCCTTCAACCCGCTCCTGGGCGAGACCTTCGAACTGGACCGCCTGGAAGAGCTCGGCTTCCGCTCGCTCTGTGAGCAGGTGAGCAGAAGGACTGGCATAGAGGTGGGGGGTGGGGGGGGGGGGGGGGGGGGGGGAGGGAAGGGCCAGGTGTTGTAGGGTTTGTGGTCCGGGCCCCTTGGTCAGGTGGAGTGGGCTCTTTGCTGCCTTCTGCACCCATCTGCTCACCCCAGAAGAGGATGGAGAGGCGGGAAGAGGATTAATCCAAGGAAGCTTCTTCTTCACTAAGTTGAGAAGAAGACAGTCTACCCGCGTGGTAGAGCCAGCTCTCTGCAGGCCTTGGAGCAGAGAAGGGGAGGGAGAAAGGAGAGACAATCCCTGTGAAACGGAAAAGGTGCGAAGGGGAGGCAGACAGGCTAGGTAATTTTGGGGCCAATCACCAGGAGACAGTGAGTTCTAGTCCTACTTTAGGCATGAAAGCTAACTGGGTGACTTTGGCCAATCACCAGGAGACAGTAAGCTCTAGTCCCACCTGAAACATGAAAGCCAGGTGGGTGACTCTCTCAACCCAAGCCATCTCACAGGGTTGTTGTTCTGGAGAAAGCGGCAAGAGGGGTAGGGGTATGTTCACCCCCAGGTGATCCTCTTTTGCAACCTTCTGGCAAGCCAAGTCAATGGGGAATCCACTTAACAGCTGCCTTACTGATTTAACAACCGCAGCGTTTGACTTACCTGCCATGGCAAGAAAGGCGGTAAAATGGGGCAAAACTCACTTAACAAATGTCTCGCTTAACAACAGAAATTCAGGGTCCCATGAGAGTCGTAAACCGAGGAATACCCGTACTGGAATTCTTGTTTATCTTCTACCCGTCATCTCAATCAATCTTGCTAAAGAGAACTTTGAGACTCTTGCTTGGAGAATTACCTGCAGTTTTAGGCAGCGGATGCCCTCAAGGTGTGTTTCTTCTCCTCCAGGTGAGCCATCACCCCCCAGCAGCAGCTCATCATGTGTACTCCAGGAAAGGCTGGACACTGTGGCAGGAGATCACCATTGCCAGCAAGTTCCGTGGCAAATACCTTTCCATCTTGCCACTGGGTGAGTAAACGGAGCGCTGCGGTGGCCCAGAGGTGGAGGTCTCGCCTCACAATCAGGAGGCTGTGAGTTCGATCCTAGTTAGAAGCGGATATTTCTCTCCCTGGGCACACTGGGGATATATCTGCCAAACAGAACTCTGTACTGGCAATAGGAAAGGCATCTGGCCAGTAAATACTCAAAATTCCATTCCGTTGCCCAGACTCCACCCTGCAAGGGATTATGGAGTCATTAAAAGGAGATGATGACTGGGTGAGTAAATGGCCTCCTGAAAATAAGGTATACTAATATTTTAAAAAAATTAAGAAAGATAGGGGGAAAAAAACTCCATACCACATCTTTTATCTATTAATAAATCATGAAGGCCGATCGTGCAATCCAAATCCGCAAAAGTCCATTAAGATTTACCAGAAATAACCGTTTCTCTGTGTACAGAAATTTATATGTATATTTTAACCGTGAGATTAACATTTTTTTCTCCCCTTCCGTTGCAGGCACCATCCATCTCGAATTCCACTCCAGCGGCAATCACTACATCTGGCAAAAAGTCACGTCCACGGTCCACAATATTATTGTGGGGAAACTCTGGATCGACCAGGTAAGGAGGAAGGGTGCCATCCTGCGGAGTTGATTAAATCCCTCGCTGAATAAACAGACGCAAATGTGGGGTGGTTTGTTTTTTTTTTTTTTCTATTTAATTTTTGGGATTATTGTATTTTAATCTTAAAAAAAAATGAATTAAAAAAAGAAAGAAAAAAGAAAAGAAACTTGTTTTTTCTGATTCTCGATTCCGATTTCTGTCAATATTGGATAATTAATAACCCTCGGGGCAAATTCTCTTTCTTTTGTCCAGTCTGGTGACATCGAAATTCTCAACCACAAATCAAAAGACAAATGCCACCTGAAATTCACACCCTACAGTTACTTCTCCAGAGACATCCCTCGGAAGGTAAACGCCCGTTTGCTTGAAAATGCAACTAGAACAAATGCCTTGTAATTTTTCTCTTGGCTGAGCCAAGGTAAAGGTAAAAGTTCCCCTGGCACCTACGTGCTACTCGTTCCTGGCTCTAGGGGGCGGTGCTCACCTCCGTTACAAAGCCGAAGAGGCAGCGCTGTCCAAAGAAGTCTCCGTGGTCATGTGGTCGGCAGGACTAAAATGCTGCCGAAGGCGCACGGAACGCTGTTCCCTTCCCACCAAACGTGGTCCCTATTTTTCTACTTGCATTTTTTACGTGCTTTCGAACTGCTAGGTTGGCAGTGTCAGGGTTCCAACAAATCCACCCCCATTCAAATCATAAGTCTTTAGCCACATCTCTCAGAGTAAAAAAAAAAAATGATCTATTAGAAGTGGCCATGTTGGCATTAGCTGGGTGCAACCGACACTAAAATACAGCATTCATTTCCCCCTTGACCCTGGTCTTCCCCCCACACCCTGGGTGTATATTCTCCAATGGGACACATCCATAGCCAAAAGTCATCAATCATGCTCTCCAATAATAATCTTGCATGCCAGAAGATTCGGCTGCCTAGCAATTAACTGAAGCATTTAAGGAATGCACTGCTTTCCCCCACTCCATTTCTGCTGGAAGCTAGAAAGACCAAAGGAGTATTTTTTTTATTTTATTTTAGTTGACAGGCAGAAGCTGGGACAAGTAACAGGAGCTCACTCCGTTACGCGGCGCTAGGTATTTGAACTGCCGAACTGCCAACCTTTCTGATCAACAAACTCAGCGTCTTAGCCACTGAGCCACCGTGTCCCTTTGTATGGTCTTTTGTACTGGCCTTTGTATGGGTCAGTTAATTCAGGGGTCCCCAACTCTTGGTCCATGGGCCAGCACTGTGCCCCAGCATGCCAGAAACCGGGCCCTGCAAACAAGCAAAGCCCCACCTGTGAGATGCCGACAGCACACAAAACCACGACCCTTACGGTCCGTGGAAACACCTCTCGCCACAGAACCGGTTCCTGCTGCCCCAAAAGTTGGAGCCCACTGAGCTAAGCTATGGGCCTGGCTGAAGAGGGTGTGGAACAGGAAGGGGAGAGAGGTCCCGAGTTGCTTTTGTGCGTCTCCATCTTTCTTGGCAGAAAGGATTTTGGCAACCACACCTCAGGAAGGTTCGTGACCATTGGCCCCGGCCGACTCGCCACATCCAACTCACTGTGAGACAAGAGTTACACCAATATCCAAGAAACGGTGGAATGGAATCATTGAAGAAAGGATGAGGAAAAGAGGGGACAGAATGAAATGTGAATGACAACAATGAAAATAGTCGTTTTTTTAAAAAAATTACTTAAATCATTAAATTGGATTGTTAACTTGTTCTGCGGCGAGTTGGATGCGGCGAGTTGGATGTGATGAGTTGCCCATGGCAATCTGACTGTGGTGAGTTGTCCTGGCTGAGGAATTCTGGGAGTTGAGATCCACCCATCTTTAAGCGTCCCAAGTTGAGAAACACTTAAAGGTGGTATTCCGCCGGTTCTGACCGGTTGTGGAGAACCGGTAGCGGAAATTTCTAGCAGTTTGGAGAACCAGCCAATACCACCTCTGACTGGCCCCACCAACTGCCCTTCTCTTTTCTTCTCTGCCTCCCATTGAGTCCCAGCTGATTGGCTGGGTCTTCTTTGGTTGCTCTGCATAGGAGAATGGAGCTGGAAAGCAGGTTAGTGGGGTGAGGATTTTGCAGTATATCCTTCCACTGCCACTCTGCCCCGCTACACCCATAGAACCGGTATTAAAAAAAAATTTGAATCCCACCACTGGAAACACACGTGTTTTTCCCGTCTTGGTCCTTGTAGGCTACTTGTAGAGTTGATTTCTACCAGGCCCCCACAAAAAACCTCCCTTTTTCTGATCTTTCTTTCCCAGGTGACGGGAGTGGTGATGGACGCGGATGGCAACGAGCGATACGTCATGTCTGGCACGTGGGATGAGAAGATGGAGTGTTCCAAGGTCATAGAAGCCAGCCAGGCAAACTCCATTTCGGAAGGCAAGCTTCCGAAAACAGTCTACCAGACCTTATCCCCCAAGGTCCTATGGAAGAAATACCCCCTTCCGTGAGTCCACCCAACACGCTTGGGGCATTAAGGGTTGACCAGCTGTGGGGTTGGGATCTCTGGGGCTGCAGAAAAGGCTACGGTTGTTATGGTGTCCCAAAGGGGCCTTTTTTTTTTTTTTTTCAAGAGGCCAACTGGACTTTCTTGGTTTTTTTCTGAAGACGTTTCGCTTCTCCTCCAAGAAGCTTCATCGGCTCTGACCAGATGGTGGAGAAGGGAAAGGTTTATATTCCTTGCAGTTCTCTGGTCATTTGCATCCTTTTAGAGGGTCGTTGAGGCCACTTGGAGCTTTGTCCTCGGGGGCCACCTGAGTGGTGCAAATGGGTGTGGAGCCTTCTTGGAACGGCTGAAAGGACTAAGTTGTAGACTGGAGATAGATGAGATCCTATCCCGTTGAGAGCGGGGCTGCTCGATTTGGGCATCGATGGCCTCTTTGGCTCCCCTTTCAAGCCACCAGTCCTCCAAATGGCCTCAACGACTCTCGAAAAGGATGCAAATGACTAGCTGTCTGCAAGGGGTATAAATCCTTCCATTCTTCATCATCTGGTCAGAGTTGAAGAAGCTTCTTGGAAGAGAAGCAAAGAAAAACAAAGTCCACTTGCCTCTTGAAAAAGCACCTGTGTGACAACAGCAACCGGAACGACGGAGAATCTTCATTAACCTTATTATGGTGGCTCAGCGATGACTAAGCGTTGCCCTTGCGCAGCCGAAACCCCGACGCAGGGAAGCACCTACGGGCGCCACCCACCCCTCTCTGACTAAGGCCACTCCTGGCTCTTCCTTCTCCAGAGAGAACGCCGAAAACATGTACTACTTCTCCAAACTGGCGCTGACCCTCAACGAGCCGGAAGATGACGTCGCTCCCACGGACAGCCGCATGAGACCTGACCAGAGGCTGATGGAGAATGGGAAATGGGACGAGGCCAACGTGGAGAAGCAGCGGCTGGAAGAAAAGCAACGGGCCGTGCGGCGGCACCGGGAAGTCGAGGCAGCTGACGCCCTGGCAGAAGGTACCGGAAAGGCGCCCTTGAGATCAGCAGGTCTGGGTTACAAGGAGGCACCCCTGGGATGTTTGCAGACTACACATCCCATCCGTCCCTCGTTATAGCCACGCTGGTGGGGCAGATGGGAGTTAAATCCCAAAATCTACAGAGGGAATGTCTTCGCACGAGGGAATACGAGGCTGGGGGCGGGAGACGAGGGGGCTTGCAGGCGCAGAGTATAACTTTACCCAAGTAGTCGTCAACTTAACAACGGTTCGTTTAGCGTCTGTTCAAGATTACAATGGCACTGGGGAAATGTGGCTTGGGACCGTTTTTCAGCCTTACGACTGCTGTGGCATCGTATTGAAAAACAAGAGCCATGTTCCCTGGCTCTTTTGGGCTGGTGGGAGAGAGGGCTAAGGGATGTTTCTGTGCAAGGAGCATGCACACGCATGCATGTGTGTCTCCCCTGGCACGTGGGCACAGCTCTACGTGAGCAGCAAGCGCACGCGCCTGCCGCTTGCCTCCCACTCACACTAGTTGGGGTTGCAAATATGCTGGCCCGCCACTTCCGCAGCCCGGTTCCAATCGGGCTGTAGCTCAGGGATGGTGGGCCCCTGTTTTAGAGTGAGGCACTGTTGAAGGGGAGGGGTCCAAGACCAGGGGCATTAACGTATTTTGGGACTATAAGACACTCCGGACTATAAGACGCGCCTAGCTTTTGGGGAGGAAAACAAGAAAACAAACTGCCTCTGCCTCCCAGCAATTTGGCTCCTTGCAGCAAACTGCAAACAGCTTGCTCAGCTTCAGCACAGCTTGTTTAGCACGAGCAGCTGATTGGCAGTTGGATCGGCCTCCTGCAATACCAACAATCAGCTGTTGAAGGCTGCGGGAATCAGCACCACTCATTGGCTCCGGCCCCACCCATCAGCACCATCACTGCCCATCGGTGCTGCTACCTATCGCCGCGTCCGCGTGCCCCATTTTCTACCTCTGCGTATCCTGTTTTCGGCTTCCGCGTGCCCCATTTTCAAGCCCCGCAGCCTGGAACAGCTGATCGTCAGTATTCCGGGAGATGGATCCAGGAGGCGGATTCCACCTGGAATGGGCCCCAAATGGGCCATGCGAAAGCCGAAAATGGGATGCGCACAGACCGAAAATGGGGCACGGGAAGGCAGCGATAGGTGGTAGCACCAATGGGTGGCAATGGCGCCAATGAGTGGTGCAGATCCCTGCAGCCTGGAACAGCTGATCATCGGTATTCTGAGAGGCTGATCCAACCACCAATCCTGCTCGTGCTAAATCAGGCTTTGCCGAAGCTAACCAGGCCGTTTGCCATTTGCTGCAAGGACGCAAATTGCTGGGAGGGAGAGGGCGAACGGTGGAGGCCAGCGGGTGGGCGGGGCTTCGGCAACATTCGCTTTATAAGAGACACAGACATTTACACCCACTTTTTTGGGACGGGGGGGGGAGTGCATCTTACAGCCCGAAAAATATGGTAATTACCCCAGGCAGTTGGTGTGGACCTCTGGCCTTTGCCATGTCAACACCGAAACCTACGGGGCTTTGCCCCGCTGCTTCCTTTGCAGGCAAGGATTACAAAGGCTACACCCCGCTGTGGTTTGAGAGGAAGGTGGACCCGCTGACGGGGGAGCTGATGTGCGTGTACAAGGGCGGCTACTGGGAGAGCAAAGAGAAGCAGGACTGGAGCCAGTGTCCCAGTATCTTCTGAGCTGGGCTCGTGGGTGCCGGGCGAAGCCTCCACATCAGCGGTGGGACAGAAGGGCCGGGTCGCTGAAGCGCCTTTTGGGGTAGCCCCCCCCCCTCTGCCTCCCCCTCCCCAGCCGCATGTCGGAGAAAAAACGCGCAGAGATTCAAATAAATCCCGAATTCAAAAACAAACAAAACAAAAAGCAAAGAAAAAAACAAAAACAAAAAAAAAGAGAGAGAGAGTAAGAGGAGGCAAACCAAACAGGGATTCCAAAAAAAAAAAAAAAAAAAAGAAAGCTATTTTTATGCACTAATAAAATGGCATATGATTTTTTTAAGTGACTTTTTTAAGCTTACCAATTAGGATTGAGACACAACGGGTGGGATTTTGTTTTGTTTTTTTTCATTTGCCAGGGGTTTTTTTTCCCTCTCCTTTTTTTTTAAAAAAAACACACACACACACTCACACACACCTGCCTCTGGGGTGTCAATCAACTTCCCTTTTGAGGCCTTGGTTTGGCTAACCGGGGCTCCGAGTTCCAAAGATGAGCCTCATGTATCGGATACGGCGAGCGTTTCAGGACTATTTTTTCGGCCGGTATTTGGCCGGTTCATACCAGTTCGGGAGAACCAGTTGTTAAGTTTCTCAGCAGTTTGGCAAACTGGTTGTTGGAAGAAATCATTAGGGCCGAGAAACGGTTGTTAAATTATTTGAATCCCACCACCGCCCCGTCCCCTCTGATTTCTCATTTCCACGTGGGAATTATTAACCCTACTTTTGATCTGCAGATAATCCCTGTTCCCCCAAGTCGCAGGCCGCTTCGTATACGCTCTTGGGGGGGTGGACCCTCAAAATTCTTTGGGGGTGATGAATTGCCAAGGGGAGAAATGTCATCTTTCTCTGGGTCTTTGGAAACACCTTGTCCCTTTGGAAGCCTGTCCTTCTTCTCCAGGTACGGAGGGATTCAGTGGTGGAATTCAGCCGGTTCACCAGAACCAGTTGTTAAGTTTCTGAGCGGTGTCGTGAACTGATTGTTGGAAGAAATCATTAGGGCAGTTAAATTATTTGAATCCCACCACTGGAGGGATTCAAACCCTGACTCTGTGCATAGCTAGGCTTTCTTTGAAGCACCCATCCTGGAAATATATGATGTTTGCTTTTGAAGATGTATTAAACACAGGGCGGAGAAATATTCTTTCCGTTCCCAGGCCGGCTGTGTTTCAAGGAAGGATTTTAAAGGGTTTTTTTTTTCTCTCTCTCTCTCCTTTTTCAACATTTGGAGAACAGGGAAGGCAGCTACAGCAGAACCTGGGTTCCCTCAGGCCTTCTGGCTGCTTTTTCCTTCATTCGCTTCGGAGATCTCAGCCCAGGGAGCGCAGGGGAGGATCCAGTTGCTTAGGATTTCTCAGTTGGTTGAATCATGGCCTGTTTTCACCATTCCAGCACCTTGTAAATCTCTGTTGGTTAGTTTGCACTGTTCTGCTGGCCGAGTCTTATCATGAACATGGAATATTGGGATTTAGAGAGGACACCTGGAGAGTGGCAGGCTGGGTTAATGCCCAGCCAGCTTTGGGATGCCCTGGGCAATTTGCAAATGCCATGTATGTAGAGAGCACAGTGATGGGGTGGCCTGGAGGTGTAACTCTCGCCTCACCATCCGGAGGCTGTGAGTTCGATCCTAGGTAGAGGCAGATGTTTCTCTCTCAGGGCACAATGAGAAAATATCTGCTGAACAAAACTCTGCACTGGCGACAGGAAGGGCATCTGGCCAGTAAACACTCAGCTCCATTCATTTGCCCAAGACTCCACCCCGCAAGGGATTATGAGGTCGTTTAAAAGACGACGTATGTAGAAAGCACATTTGTGCCCGTCCTTGCGTGCAAAAACCAAGAATTCTCTCGCGGTTTTAAGATCTTCCTCAGGTGAAGGAAAGGGCAAAAGATCCAGCAAAAAACCCTTCTGGCTCCGGTCAGCTCAGGCATCCTGGGTTCACCAGCCTAGCTACCCTCTGTAGCAAAACACCCCATTTGCAACTGGATGAATTGAGGTACGATTCTTCTTGTCTTTCTCCGCTGGAGACCTAGCTCCACCCGCTGCTTGCTCAGAGTTAGCCCCCTGGGGAGGTCTCGCCGGCATCCCTGCTGGCAGGGGGATTCTGGGGGGCTGCAGTCCCAAATAATCCGGGCGGGTGGCACTGGCTGCTTGCTCAGAGTTGGTGCATTGGGACTCTTAACCCGTTGCCGTCGGTGTTATCCCTGCCCAGCTCAACCTCAGCAGGGCTAGCCAGGGAATTCTGGGAGTTGAAGTCTTCCCATCTTAAAGCCGAGGACTCCTGCTGTCCAAGGTTCCTCTTCCCAGTTGTCCAGCTGATCCTTCCCTGGGGCCAGCTTGCTTTAGGGGCCCCTGAACATCTGGTGCTTGGAGAAGCCCCTCCCAACGAAACAGGCGACTAAAGGGCCCCGAGGGCGGGAAAAGCCCCCTCCCTACTGAAGGTGGCATCCCATCACCGCCCTCTGAGAAACTGTCCATTTCTCTTTTGGGGGAAGAAAACAAGCAATAATTGGAGGGGGGTCTTGCCCAGGGGTGGGCTTCAAAAATTTTAGCAATGTGTTCTCTGCCCGTTGCTGAGTGGGCGTGGCCATGGTGGGCATGGCCTAGTCAGCCTCCTACACCACGGTGGTAGTGGGATGTTTTCATCTTCCCCCGACTCCCGAGTCTTTTCCTTGAGCTTCCGGGAGGGCAAAAACAGCCTCCCCCAAGCTCCGGAGGCTGCCTGGAAGCTGGAAATGGGCCCATTTCCGGCCTTCACGAATATCCGGGAGGCCGGTTTTTCGAGCCTCCATGCGCACCCTGGGATCCAAAACGGGCCCCATGGAGACTCCGGGGAGGGGAGGAGTGGGTGGGGCCAGCCAGGAGTGGATTTTGGGGGCGGGGATTCTCCCAACTGCACACAATCTTAGCTAGGGGGCTGTCCCAAAACCCCTGCAAGCCCCCAGCAGCCCACTCCTGGTCTTGCCTCTCCTGGCTTCCAGAGTGCGAAAGGCAGGATCCATATGGGATACAAATCCCTACCCTGAAAGACCCATTACACACTCACACCTGGTAGCTATACAAATGTACACCTGTACAAACACACACACGCACACACACAAAACGCTTGTATATGGGATAACAATAGCAACTGAACATCGGCGTAACTCTCGCCGTTGATGCCAGCATACCGTTAACCTTTATTTATTTGTTTCTAATTTATATGTATGATATCTATAATATATGTACACAAATATATATATAAATATATATAAAATTATTTTGTTTAAATTTGTATGGGTGCGTAGAAGAAACAAGAGAAATGAAGACAGAATAATCCCTCTGTCTGAATCTTTTTTTTTTTTATAGTACAGATATGTTCTGCTCTTTTTGATCTTCACCATCCCAACCCCTGTTGTTGATTTTTAAAGTAAAATTAAATAGTGGGATTGGAAGTACAAGTTGTGCTTCAGGATCTATGCACAAAAATTGTCTGACAGATTGTGGCCAAAGAGGGGCTGATGGTAGATTTGTTGGGTGTGATTTGTCCCAGAATGAAAAACAAAACAGTTTTGGTAGGTCAAACTTCTAGTCCAGGGATCTTCAAACTTGACAGCTTTAAGACTTGTGGACTTCAAGTCCCAGAATTCCTCCTCCGATCATGTCAGCTCAGGAATTCTGGGAGTTGAAGTCCACAAATCTTAAACTTGAGAAGTTTGAAGACCCTTGATCTACTCCATCTATCTAATCTATCTCGCTATCTATTTTACCTCTCTTTATCTATTCTATCTTTCTCTCTCTTTTCCTCTATTCTATCTCTTTCTCTCTATCCATTCTACCTCTTTTTATCTATCTATTCAAAGGGTCTTCAAACTTGACAGCTTTAAGACTTGTGGACTTCAACTCCCAGAATTCCTCCTCCAATCATGTCAGCTCAGGAATTCTGGGAGTTGAAGTCCACAAGTCTTCAACTTGCCAAGTTGGAAGACCCTTGTTCTAGAGCAACCGTTCTGGTGTACGGACTTCCAACTCCCAGAATTCCCCAGCTGGGGAGTTCTGGGAGTTGGAAGTCCGCATTCCCTTGTTGGGAAATGCTTCCGTAGAGCAAATTCATGTCTATGCTCCCCATTCTCTGAATGTGTTGACCTTCTCAGGGGTTTCTCCCGTGGTGAACAGGAACTCTAGCTGGGATTGAGGGATGCTTGTAGGCCAACACATCTGGAAAACATCAGCTTGAGGATGGTGTCAGATTCCTGGAGGCCTTTATGGAGCCGAGGCTGGAGTTTTTCCAAGCCAAGGTTTGCTTGGAAAACCTTTTGTCCGTTGGCACGCATGAGTAGAAATGTTGCCAGAGAAGGAATGTTCTGGAAAAAGGAAGTTGCCTGGAATGGCGTACCAAGCAATGCCACCTGCAAGAGCCCATAAATAAGAGAAGATTATTGTAAACATTGCTTAAATGTATCATTGAGTCGGCAGGGATGTTCTACTGGGAAGCCTTTCTCTTTAAAAAAAAGGAAAGGAAAAATGTTTCCTGGGGATAAAGAAAAATGAAGAACGATGGCACAAAATGAATTTTCCTGATACTGTTTGAATGCTGTGCATGCCAACTGTCTCAGGCAGGGTTTTTAATTTAGGGAAGGAAACATGTCTTTGGTTTCTTTAAAGCTCACGGCCTTGTGGGCCCTCCATCACTGGAGGCTTTTAAGAAGAGACTGGACAGCTGGTTTGTCTGGAATGGTTTAGGGTTCCCTGCTTGGGCAGGGCAGGGGTTGGACTAGAAGACCTCCAAAGTCCCTTCCAACTCTGTTATTCTGCCTAAGGACGTTTTCAGTTCGGGGCAGTTTAGACAATGTACAAACAAAATAAATTAAAATTACTGGAGGTTGTTTTTTTAAAGGAGAGAGCCTTTTGTCCAGAATAGTATAGGATCTCCTGCCTGAGCCAGGGGGTTGGACTAGAACACCTTTAAGGTCCCTTCCAAATCTGCTTTTTCTGTTACTCTGTTATTCTACTCGTCTCTCAATTTTATTCTGTATTCTGTACAACGTCAACACCCGCATCTTTGAACCCAATGTTTTTCGACCTTGGTAACTTTTAAGGTGTTTGGACTTCAATGCCCGACGTCGGCTAGGGAATTTTGGGAGTTGAAGTCCACAAGTTGCCAAGGTTGGAGACCTCTGGGTTA